CAGATTTCACCAAGTCATCTTCATCGTAAATGTCGATCGGTCTCGAAAAAAACAACAACATAATTTCCTAAAAGTTTTAAATACGACGCAGACCCTCGCCGAAGCTGCTCCGACGACCTTGTGCGTAGCTTCGTCCTTTTTTCTGCCTTTCCTCGCCTTCCGGGCAGCGACCACTCAGGGGCCGTGGCTCTTCGCCGCCCGTTTGCCCGCCCGCGTTTTGTATGTCCGTGGGCGCCTGTGCTTGGCGCGTGGCCGGGCGCACGTAAGCGTCTGCATATTAATTGTTGGCGCCTCTGGGCGTTGCGCGGACAAGCGAATATCCGCGCATGTTAGCACATATGCGCAAACTTATACACTTGTGTGTGTGTACACACACACACACACACACACACACACACACACCACACACACACACACACCCACACACACACACACGCACACACACACGCATACAACACACACACACACACACGCACACACACACACACACACACGCAACACACACACACACACACCACACACAGCAACACACACACACACACACGCATACACACACACACACACACACACACACACACACACACACACACAACACACACACACACACACACACACACACACACACACATATATATATATATATATATATATATATATATATATATATATATATATATATATATATATAGTGCGTGCGTGTGTTCCTCGGATGGAAGGAGCCGCAGAATGCTCCCTTCTCGCGTCACGCTTTAAATGCCACCGATTCCTTGCTTCTGATTCCCCATTTCTCCATCCGCCCTTGAGCAGAGGCTGAGCGAAAGCAAAAAAAAAAAAAAAAAAAAAAAATATATATATATATATATAAAACGAAAAAATATATAAAAAAATCCTCGTTTCTCTCTTTTATGCAAATTCACTCTCGGTGTCTCTCGGTTGCAGGCTGTTAGCCAAGTCATGCGTTGCTGTTTACACAATGTTATGGCGCAGTGTATCATTTTGTGTAATTTGTACCTATGATAAGGTGTATGATTCTGAGTGCTTATAACATGAGTGTTATGCTGTATCACTGTGTGTGTGTACTTTGGTATGGTAATATATATGTGTATCTTTTATCTATCTATCTACACACACACACACACACACACACACACACACCACACACACACACACACACACACACACACACACACACACACACACACACACAACACACACACACACACATACATATATATATATATATATATATATATATATATATATATATATATATACATATATATTTAATATATTTGTTCATATCTACATCACAGGTCATTATTTTCCAGCCACATGCCTTGACCAGAAGAGATGCATTGCACAAATACATAATCACTCACTCTTCCATTAAAGGAACTGCAACACGACGCAATATATTGATATCTAGTACTCATGCCTATTGCCAAAGGTCAAACATATGTTTTATGTATCTATTGTGTTCTATCTTATGCTGTTTATTTACTTATCGTTATGAATTTATCTGTTGATCTGTGTATTTATCTATTTATTAATCTATTAATTGATCTATCAACCTAGTTCTTTTTTATGTTCATTCATTTATCTGTGTATCATTTAACTATCTGTCTCATATATCTGTCTATTCATCCATATCTTTATCTATCATATTCTATTCCATATCTTTATCTATATATCTACTCTACTTTATGTATCTTTATTTCCCTGTTGCTGTCCAGGTGGGCGTGGACATGGCGCGTTTCCCCGAGTTCGAAGACGACCTGCAGTTCGTCGAGAAGATGATCTCAGAGGAATCCGTTTTCTGTTTACCCGGAAAGGTGAGTTCGAGGGCTTCCCGTTTTCTGTCATTTCCCATTTTCTGTCGTTTCTCGCTTTCCTCCTAGATGCGATTTTTTGGGTGTTTTCTTCTTCGTCATGGGATTTGCTTGGCCTTGAGGAGGGTGACATGGCGGGATGAGCGAGGAAAGGTCAGGCAGAGGGCGGTCAGCGGGGATGCGGTGACTTTCGTTGCACAATGGGATGTCCTCTTATGGTGCAGACTCGGGGGGCTTCCAGTGTGTTTAGTGTTTGACGCAGTGACATCGATCACACACACACACACACACACACACACACACACACACACACACACACACACACACACACACCACCACACACACACACACACACACACACACACACACACACACACACACACACACACAGCACACACACACACACACACACACACACACACACACACACACACACACACACACACACACACACATTCACACACATTACACATACATTATACATACACAACGCAGTTAGTAAATTCGTATGCGTTTAGACAAGCTAACATTTAAGACAGCAGTTCAGATACAGCAATACGTTTATTATTACTACAATCAAGGGAACATAATTTATTCCGGGAAATGTGAGTAAATATAAAAATTAGCTAAAAAAATATATGATTTATTTACCACGGAGTAACAGATTAGTCTCAAGGTCGTCAAACCCACGTGATCGCATTCTTTGTTCATAATTGCAAATATTTGCACCAAGTTCCTTCTTATTAGGTATTTGCATGGTGTTTTGCTTCTCATTATTTTCCATAATTGCTAATGAAAACCAAATTCTGTCAGTTAATATTCATATTTTCGCTAATAAACAAAGAACTCAGAAGAGTGGATCCATTATATACAGCATTTGTCTCCGTGTCGCCCTCACAGAAAAGTGAATCCATTATAGACTATTTGTGTCCGTGTCACCCTCACAGAGAATTGTATTCACTTTAGACCGTATTTGTTCCCATGCCACCCTTTATTGATTCCGGATCGCATTCCAGTGCTTCGACTTCCCGAACTACGTCAGGATCGTGCTGACCGTCCCGAAGGAGCAGCTGCAGGAGGCGTGCAACAGAATCAGCTCCTTCTGCGTCCGCCATTACCACGCCCCATCCATGGCCGTCTCCTCCAACGGCGTGAGCAACGGCGTGAGCAACGGCGCCCACAACGGCCACGCCAACGGCAACGGCTGCTCCAACGGTTCCTACAACGGGGCCATGATGACGTCAGTGGAGGAGGCGAAGGTCCTGGCCAAGGCGACGGCTCTGGAGACCGCCGCGGCCTTAGTGGCGGAGATGGAGACGGACTGAGCCTGAGTTGTCGATTGCGGTTATCGGGGAATTTTTTTTTCCTAATGTAAAGGAAAAACATAAGAGGAATGGTTGGATGAGAGAGAGAGAGAGAGAGAGAGAGAGAGAGAGAGAGAGAGAGAGAGAGAGAGAGAGAGAGAGAGAGAGAGAGAGAGAGAGATAGAGAAAATGATGGATGATTAATCACTTGATGTCTTTATCAAATCCCATGGAAACTTATACTCATTTATACCTTTTTCTACGTATGGCGCAATTTCTTGTCCTGTTTATCAAAATAGTTATAATTAACGCAATTACTGAAAGAGTAAAGAATTATGTGGCTCAAGATAATACTCAGTTAAAAACGCAAATGCTATTTTTTTGTATTTTTGTACATATTCATCAAATTTACTCGTTTTCCCGAAATATACGGGTTTTTGTTTTTTGTGTGTATAGCTGTTCGTGTACGTATGAATGTGATTGTATGTATGTATGCGTGCCTCTTGTTTAAAACTGTGGGAGAAGTCAAAGTGTATTGCTCAACATCCGACAGAGTGCTTTGTACACATTTTATATAAGATTGAACCGACTTTCCATAAAAGATAGAAATGCTAAAAAAATCAGTAAACCAAAATATAAATAGATGACAAAATTATGTAGAAAATAATAGAAAACAAACATTCACCTTCGTACAAACCAAATCATATCCAATGTGTTATACGCGTTAGATGGTAAATTGCATCAGACATATGACTCTAAGCGAAGTTTTCGTTTTCTATACGACTGTTTTGTCTCGTTGGTTAGCGTTATTTTTTTCTTTGCTTTGTTTCCTCTCTTGAATTTCTATGTAAGTATACAAATCTCATGAACCGGGATCTGTGCAAAAACATACTTTCATACAAACACAAAACAAACACAACGCAACGAGGGTGGGCAAGAAAACCACACTAAAGTTGTTTTTTCATATTTACTGATCATCTCTCGACTCGCTGTCACTAAACGTCATAATAATGCATATAATTGCTAATCGTTATTTTCAAAGTACTGTAGATGTATAGATTTTTATTTTGTAATTAGTACTTGTAGTATTGTTTAGGTGTTACAGGGTTTTGTTACAGGAAGAATGATATTTTTATGTAGTTGCTTAGCCATGTTGATAGTCCAATAGAATGTTCAATAGGTAGGAGAAGGAAGTTTTCTTTTTCAGCCGTCAGAGGGCAGCACTATGCACGGTGTAATAAATGGCTTTATTTCATGGAACGTTTTTTGATTTCGGAAACCTCTGCTAATCGTAGGGGAAGTTTCAGCTGCTCTTAGATGACAACTGTAATTGAATTGTTTAAAGATATAATAAAGGAACTAATTTTACGACGATAAAGATGATATTGTTTTACCTGCTACTTTTATCCATTTTCGACCATTTCCCCCATAACGGCTTTTTTATCACTATACAACTTCTACTGTTACAACAACTTTTGGATACGACAACTACTGTTGGTGCTTCCTCTGTTGCCTTCTGTTACTGTTAACACGTCTCTGACTACCGCCACTGCAGACATACTGCGTACGAGTAATATTTCGAGCAGTACGGTTATCCTCTGCTATTTCTATAACAAACTTCTTTTACGCTTTTTATTATCATTACTACATATACTGGTACTATTGCTACTACTACTACTACTACTAAAAAAAAAAAAAAAAAAAAAAAAAAAAAAGGGCCAATGCTATTGCTTTAAAGTCTTCTAGTTATGGTGCTAATGTAGTTACCATCAACTCTACTGGTATCATTACAATTACTGTTTTATATACATGTATATATACACACACACACGCATATATATATACATACATTCATACACACACACAC